CTTTTTTCTTCCCATTTAGTACATTTCTAGTACTATGTTTTACAAAGTTTCCTCTTGCTAGGGGGAGAAAAAAAGCTAAGATTAGCTTTTTTATTATATTTTATGGAATTATATTGCTTATAAACATTTCCATTCACTATATTCACTCATACTTGCAAAACAGCATAAATTATAAAAGCATTAAAGAAACTAAGCTATGTTTGGAAAAACAAGGAACTCTTAAGAACTAGCCTGACTGAGCAGCTTACCGTAGTAAGAAAGCTAATTGCTACTTTTGCCCTTAGGAAAGTCGCTTAACCTTTCTAATCTTCACTCTTCAGGTCATTGCCTTTTGGTGGCTCAAAAAAACATTGTTTGGAGAGTCAAGATGGGAGCACGGCTGATAGTTTATATGACTTAGAGTCAACCCTTTGGGAAATTTCAAGGGTGTAGTAGAAGTGGTTCCCTTTCCAGTCTTAGATTTTTAACTGGTCTCTGGAGACCCCGTAACTGTCAAGTTGGTTTCAGTACTTCTTGAGTGGCAATTTTGGTCAGTCATCATTAAAAGTAGACACTGGATAGAATATATAAAAACAGTAGGTAGAAACTATGAGGAAGGTATACATAGGTTTCCCCATCAACTTAATTGTTGAAAAAACTTTTTTCACTTAAAAAAAACTTACCTCATTAGCTAAACCTTCATTAACTTTAGTCTTGGTCCTTTTGTGCTCAACCACAAATTTCTTCATTGTCAATTTTTGCTGAGATAATATGTATTAGGCAAACAATAACATTATGGTCAAGGATGCTGTGAACATTTATCACTTTTTACTTGTGTATGTTTATCAGTAGAAGTAATAAACAGGCCTTCTTGTTAACCAAGTTAGTCCCTGCATATTAGACACTTAACAAATTGTGTCCTTAGCCCTTTTTATTTTGTAGAACACACAGGTTTCTTATGTTTTCATGGTCATAATTAAACTCCCTTCTGTGCTTAAAAATGTTCAACCAGTTGTAGAAAGAGGATTTGGTAGGAAATTTGTCATTGAGTCAGCATGAATCTATCACCACTTCTTAAAAAAATTGCTGCTTAGAATACATATCCCACAAAATAATAGAGTAGCATCTTTGTATGTGAAAGCAAATACTTTAAAAATTTAGTAGTTTACTGAATGGTAATTTAGAGGTTTAGCTCAAGATTTTATAAACTTGGCTACATGTCAGAATCACCCCAGACATTCTGATTCAAAAGTCTAAGAATAGGGCCCAGTTCTCTTTTTAAATGTCTCAGGGTAATTTTGACACAGCCAATCAAGTATCAAGAAATGACTTTCTTAATTTACTATTAAAGACTAAAGACAGTACTGGGCAAAATAAAATCCTGGGCATTTTTATAGTTATAAGGCATGCTTTTTAAGATAGTAAATGTCCAGTCAAATTCTATTTTGTTTCAAAAAAAATTATACAATAGGCTGGGTGTGGTTGCTCACAC